GTCGTGTAGCTTTTTCAAATTTGGTTCCAATTTTTGAGGTTAAGTGGAAGTGCGGATCTGGGAAACACGATTTTTCGTCTTTTTAATGTGAAAAGTTAGATTTTTATTGAAAATTTACTGCCGTGGGATGTCTTTATTTACGTTGAGAGAATGTTTAGTGCCCCACCATTGAAATTTTTATATATTATTGAATTTATTATCGGATATGATGTTTCTTTTTCAAATATGGCGCCAATTTGTTGAGGTTAAGTAGGAGTACGTATCTGGGAAACATAATTTTGCTATTTTAATCATAAATATTTGGATTTTAATTGAAAATTTAGTCTTCTGGAATGTTTTTCTTCACGCCAAGAGAAAGTTTCGAGCCCGAGCATTGAAATTTTAACATATTATCGAATTTACTATCGAACGTCATGTTCCATTTTTCAAATATGGCGCCAATTTGTTGAGGTTATGTGTAATAGGAATGTGAGAAAGCGTTTTATTTCTCAATTAACGGGAAATAGTGAATTTACTTTTGAATAAAAGTCTGTTGTCCAAGACTATCGTTTTTGTTTCAGAACATAAGGTCGGAAAGCTACTTCAACTCGCGCAGAAAAATTCTTTTATTTCTTTCTTCCCTACGATCGCGAAAATCCTGTTTTCAAACAAGCGGATTCCCTTCAAAGAAATATACTATCACTAGAAAGGGAGAAATGAAAAATATGAACGGAAAAAAGCACTGAAAAATTCCCTGCCCCATTTCCGATCGTCGGGATTCGATGTCCAAACAAAGCTTTTCCGGAAAAACTTAATCAAATTCCCAGAATACCGTGTTACGAATATGATACAAAACGCTCTTGTGTTACACGATTGATCACGGAAATATCCAATTTCTTTTCCAAATATGAATACCGATGGACTATCTCGCTGTGCATTCTTTTCACTCACCTAACCTAACTTTATCTACAGAATCCTAACCATGTCACTAGCAAACATAGAAAAAGCATAACCCAATAACATTCTAAATGGTTCCACGATTTACTCGATTCATAAACAACTCAAAAAAGAAATAAAAAGTCAAAATCAATACTATACCTAGTTAGTATAGTCACTGACGATTCTCACCAAAGGTCCTAAAAACCTCCATTACTATTTCATCATTACTGTAACAATTTTCACTGTTCATTATTATATTGTAATATTTACATAACCTCATTGATTGCGATATAGATATTACCAAAATTGCAATTGTAATTGCAATTATATTTAAATGTTTATTTAACGATTCAATTTTACGATGATCATTTTCCTTTCTTGGTATATTAATATGAACACAGGGTTCCGAGGGATCCGCCATTGCTATGCTGACAATTTTAAGAATTAAACAACTCCAAATAAAAAAGATCTTAAATAGATCCAAGCTAAATAAAAACAGAGTCTAAATAGAAAATAAGAATTTTCCCTGTTCCTCTATTTTAATACTTATTCAATCCCACTGATAACAATACAGGTACCACCAAAATTGCAATTGTAATTGTAATTATAATCAAATGTTTATTTAACGATTCCGGCGCTGGTCATAAATAGATCCAGGCTAAATGAAAACAGGGACTAAATAGAAACTAAGAAACAAAATTGAAATCTCACCTTGAAGACCTCCCACGTGGCGCTGAACGGAAGTACCGCCACCCCGACCATGAGATCCGCCACTGCCAGGTTAACGATGAATATGTTCGTGACGTTCCGCAGCTTGCTGGTGTGATAGACGGCCAGTATGACCAGCACGTTACCCAGCACCACCATCACGTTCACGATCGCGAGCACGATCAGGGTAGCCAGGTTCCACGGGCCGGACCACTCGACGCGCTCGTACAGGGCAGCACATGCGGTCGCGTTCAGCTCTCGCATTTTAGTTGGCAAGCTGTCGCGCCGCGTCTCGAACCACCTCGGACCACTTCCGGCTGAACAAAGCCCCGAATGCCGACCCACCGACGACTGTAATGGAAGAACGCCGCGCGACCGTCTGGGCCTCCATCACGACGCGACTGCGATCGATCGATCAACGTAGCAGGAATTAATCCTCTGCTTCTGTTGGGATTGCGCTCTCTTTTCCAGTTCCTCCAGCGTTATATAGGATTACAGAGCCTCCTCTAACACCTCCAAGCTTAGTTATATATCTATCCTCTCTGGCTCAGAGGATTTTCAGGTGTTTCAAAGGGGTTTGCAGAGGATTCTGTACCTTTCCAAGTTGTTTCAGATCTCTGAGTGGAGTCGGTGGTGGTCTTCCGAGCTGGGTCTGGTTTATAATCAGCTGAGTGGAAGATAATTGATTCCTCACCTTCTTCAGGTGTGTTGGAGCGTTTCTCAGATTTCTCTGATGCGATCTGCTAAGTCTCTTTGGTTCTGGCTAGTCTCTTAGACTGGGGAACGAGTGATCCTTCGGAGGAGAAGAATAAGTCTATGAAGATCTAGGTTAATTCCACCAAATTCATCCTGGAGAGTCTATTCCAACCTCTCTGATCTATTCTTCTCATCAAGCATCAAATTTCTGCGCGTTTACTATCCTCTGCCTGTGACACCAAGACGAAATTGTCTTTCCAAAATTGCCTTTCGAAAAATATCGTAAACCACGTCCTTTGATCAACGTTTCCTCCCAGATGCTTGACGAAGGTCCCGCGAGAGGAGAGCTAAAGCTATTAGCGTCTTCAAGATTCACCATTCGCCCTCGATAAACGCCATCGTCGGCAACAGAAACTCAGCCCTACCCCTGGAACTTCGCTTAACCGTGTTTCAACCCCTTCTCAAGCCCGAGCCTCGCCTGATTTCGCCTCGGCGTCTGATTTTCTGTATTGTTTCGCCCCGTTCCGTCCACCAGCCGACTAATTTCGCCTGCATCCACCGTTCGACTCGTAGTTAACTGGCTAAACGGATCAGCCCGTCGCCGCCTGCAGGATTAGCTCGGATCGATCAATCTAATTACTCCGCTTCTTTCAGCCGGGGGAATTCCGCTAATGGAACAGCTTCGTCGTCGCTGAAGAGTCACTCGATGACACTCTCTCTCTCACTACCCCAGCTTTTTCACGCTGTATAAACGTCCTTATTCAAACACGGGAAGGTTTCACACCGCAGGCCAGAGGAGAGTCTTCGATCAGGAGATTGTCTACTCGACGGTTAGCCCGAAGCTCTTGTCACCGTGAGGGAAAAGCTAGCATCGGGAGTCGGGTCCAGGAACGTCGACTTTGGTATTTTCTCGAGGACTTTCTCGAATCTCTGAGAATTGCTCCAGAGTAACGCTATTTTCTCGAAGGACGCACGCACAGTCGGCGATGTTGAGCGCAAAGAGTACAGAAGCAACCTCGTTCACCAAGGATCGCTGTGATCGAGCATGTAGACACGGAGATAGAGTTCACGCAAATCGAAAGTCCTCTCTCTTTCTCTCTCGTTTTACGTCGCGTATAAATTGCTATTCACAACTTAGCCCCCTAATGCATTCAAATTCCAGCCAGGACTACGCTGGGAAAAAAGGCAAACAGAAGGTTCCGTCGCAGACTTTGATCCCCGCCCACCCTCTTCCAATTGAAATTCTATTCCAGTGCCGCCCCCGCGACGCTTCTCTCCTCCGTGAACACCTCCGGCCCAATTATTTCACCGACTCTTCCGGTCTCCAAAGTACCCGTGGCGCCCTCTGCGCTGCTAATTCGTCCCACCTACCAGAGTTCCTCCTCTTCCACGCCTGGAACGTTTTAACAAGACTTCGCTTCGATTTCGTTTAACGCGAGGGTATCGCGAATTTCACTTCATCCGGCTTTCGCCACCAGATGTCCACTTCCGGTTTCACCTGCAGATGCCTCTCGTTCATCTCTCGCGTCTTCCAGCGAATTCCGGCTCACCATCGGCGTGTCACGATTCTACTGCATCGAGGAAATCGTACCGTCACGCTAACTCCGCTTGTTCCACCCCCCTACCCGGGCTACCCCCATGTTTCACCCGCTTCAACCCCCGCGAGCTCTTTTACCCTTTTCCACGGAGTCCTAGCTTTCTCGACTTCCCTTTTCAGAGTTCCGCGAGACGGTTGGTCTCCAACCAACGGCAGCTGCGAGATATTTTTGAATGTACTCTGGAATATATTCTTGAATATATTTTTCGATATATTCCTGAAGTCTTCTCGACCCTCTGACTCTGTGGTTTATTTTACGACTGGTTTATTCCAAGGTTGTTGGGTCTCTTTGGGATCTCGAGATCTATTTTCTCGACTAATTTTCGTTATTAATTTTATCAAGGATCGTTTATCGATCGTACAGTTTGATAAAAATGGTTGCCCAGGTGTTGAGCACCCTGAGTCACCCCTTTCAGGTTTTACAGGCTATTTTCTCGGATCGAAAAGAGATTCCGTGCTCCTTATTGATACCTGGCAACACCCCTCGAGTTCCCGGGCTGTATCACGAGCCTGTAAATATTTTCAGCGAGGCAATTTCCCGTCAACCCTCGACGGGGGTTGCAAGATCACGGTTCCTTCGGAGTTTTCCACCGTGCCACTTTCGCACGCAGGGTTTACGAGGATTTCGAACGTCTCTGTTACAGTGCAATGACTCAAGCTAGGGGCTACTGTTCCTCAGATTCTGGGTGTACTTTGGCAGCAGAGAGGGTTGAATTTGTCACGGTTTTCCAGCTCCTTTTCACCCTGTCCAATTTGTGCATCTTTTTGTGGCGAGGAGATCCAGGGAATCTGTTCTCCTAACGAATCCAGTGTCCCCGAACTGCTGATTCCTCGAGATTCCCCGAGTAGCCAGCTCGCCAAGTTTTCGGGCAGCCTCGGACAGTCTCTCGCGATCGTTTCAGAGATCGTTAAGCTCCCTATCGGATCCGATTCCTTCCTAGCCTATTCTCCGGACGTTTGAGTAATGGACAAACCAGAGAAAATCGTGCACCCCGCTCCAGCCGACTCCTCTTTATTCCTCTTACCGACCGGGAAGTTTCGACTCGATTCTCGAGGAGTTACCGAGGATTCAGTCTGCCTTCCTCTCAAGGATCCAGCTAACTGCTCGCCAAAATCGGACTCCTATCCCTCGAGCTCTCCCCTAGCTAGAACTTTATCTATCTAACTTCTAATATCTTTCACCTCCAGCTTCCAAATCCCGATTACCCGGGTCCCTTATCATCGTTCGAACAATTCCCTTTAAAACGGTCAGCTCGACCATAACTCTTGGATCTCGAACTCTCAGAGCTTGCGAGTAGTCTGAAAAATTCCTAGGTCCTGCCAATAATTCCCGAGCTTCTCTTCTGGCTATGGCATGCACACCTAGAAACTGTCAATCTTTCTTCATCTGTCTAGAATTCACTGCAGCTTGTCTAGAATCGGGACTGAAATTCAGGTTGCTCTTCGACGAAGGTCTTCCAGGTGATGCAAGTGTTCAGCTGGTCCAGTCGAGTCGCGAAGAATCCAGCATCCAGTCAGGTGTTTCGCGAGCCAAAGTCCTCAAGAACGGTTCCTATTGGGCGACGTTCCCCGCGGAACGATCGATAGCCGCGGGAGTTTACAATTACGAGCGTATTCTTCCGCGTTCCCGGCCTCGATTTCCGGTCCCTCGATCACCACACACACGCACGCACACGGATGTACACACGCGCACAGATGGCAGAGTCGATCGGATCGCTGCGTTATTCTTCGAATCACCGGGAGAGATCACAGTCGTTGTAGTTGATCTACGAGAAGATCTATTGGTTGAGGTACAAAGGTAGACTAGATGATCTTCCGACACTTCGCACGGTGCGTGTACCTCAGCAATCTGAAGCGCGTCTCCTCCTCGATGCGCTTCGCTCGCATTATTTTAACGAAGGTGCTCGGCCTCCTTGGGGTGCTCCTCGGGTGGACAATTTTGGGGTTGGCTCGCTTGAATCTGAAAGAAGAAAGCATTTCTGGGCTTTAGGACTTGATTATTGAACACGTCTATTGTGGACTAGGTGTATACTAAACGGGATGAAGTTACAGTCCAGAATTTCTTGGAGATTAGGTTAGCTGCTTCACGCAGGAGAAAGTTTTAATGTTTTGAAAATTTTTAAACTGGTTTGGAAAAATTTTTCAGGGGAAATAAATTCTTCTGGAATTTAATTTTAAAGGATCAAATATTGTCTTATTAGAATGAGAATGGATTCAGGAGCTTCAGATGATAGGTACGACTAAATTCGTGGATTTTGGAAATTTGTCATACGTAGAAGAATAGTTCTGGAGTTTCGAAATTTAAAGATTCAGCATTCAAGCTACCGAAGATGTTACGGATATGATATTTATAATTTACAAGAAAAATAAATCGAGAGGTGGAAAAGGTTTCTTGAGAAACAACATTAAGATGATAAGAACAGAGAGAGAGAGATTATGGTACTTTAAAACTTCTTCCAGTGTTTATCAGTAATTTCATTGAGATTAATCGAATCTTTCAAGATATTAAGTGGAGAATTGAGTGGAGATAAAATAACACTGTGGATCTAATTAATATTTAAAACGATTCTAAAGAAAATTTATCAGTAACGTCAATTCAATTATTCAAATGGAAAATATTCTACTTCTCGTTCTTCAATTCTTCACAGTAATCCAAATTTTATTTCTTCATAACTATCAATTTTATCTTGTCTTCGAACGCGAGTTCCATAAGAAACTACCAATACTGAATTTTCTTATAAGAAAAAGCGAAGAGATATGTTACAGAGCCTGATACTTAAACGTGTATCACTAGTGGCGGACTTGTTCTACTTAAAATGTCTGGCGAACCGAACAGTGGCTGGTCTATACCACTTAAAAATATCTGATAATTGAGCCGTTCACTGCACAAATTGATTAATTCCACTTTTTGAAAAATCTTAAATTTATGTGTCAAAGCACTTAGTATAGTCATAACTGTACTATTTCATTG